GCTTGCAGGGACGTGTAGCTTTCCTTAACATAGAGAGCTACACCCGTGCCCCTTTTCTCTACGCGATCCCTCCTGTACAGGGTATAGCCATCTGTACCCATGGTCCAGTCATGGGTGGAGTCCCACCAGATCTCCGTTATCCCTATGACATCATAATTATTTGCATTGAGCAGGAGGATGAGTTCCTTCTGCTTATTCCCCAAGCTCCTGGCATTTGTGTACAGGCAAGCAAGTGCCCCCTGGGGGGCTCCTTCCTTGCCCACAGATTTTGCCAGGGCTGGGGCAGGGGTGGGCTCCCTTAAGTGCCTTGACCTGCTGGCTTTGCAAGGATTGCTCAGCGGGCCAGCAGAGCATCCAAACATTAATGTTTGGATGTAATTCTAAATATCTGTAAGCAGTGTCAGAAGACTGCAGGGGGTGTTAAAGACTTGATTTACTGTTTTAATGGCAAGCAAGCAACATGGTAAATACAGCTATGAAATTTTGAATACCTAACAAATATTGATAGATATTTAGTAGTGTAAACTATTTTATAGATTGTTAGATAGACATAGTAGCACTTACCATAAAACTATTCAAGGCTAAGGTGTTCATCTGGGGATTTTTTTTAAATTAGGAGGGAACCGTAACCATAGATTGTTTAGTCACTTTACCAATGATATTCATGTATCTAACAAAGCATGCAAGCCACGTTGCTTCAAGAAATAACTTTACTTCTTTTTCCATAAGGCTATTTGAGCATTCTTATGTTTATGATTTTGCTTATTTTTTTCAATAGACATACGTTGTTTTTAATGTGTTTCTATGTCTCTCTTTGAATCAGAGGTCCCATTTGTCTCTGCCAAGAACAGTAAAATCCCTGCACCACTCTCCTTTTCCTCTGCCCTTCGACCTCCGAGACTAACAGCCACTAAGATTGTGGTCTACAGTCCTGCTGATGCTTGCTCGCCTCTCTCTCAAGGTCCCCCTGGTTCCTTCCAGTTTTCTTGCTGCCTGTTCTCTCCTTTTGCAGGTTGTGTTTATTAGTTTATCTACTGGGGTTTGTGCAGTCTGTTATGACTTTAGGAATCGAACTTACACAGTGATTCCTTTAGCCTAAGAGAAACCCGTGTGCCCTCTAAACAGTAGAGTCTCATGTTAAATTGTCAGGAGTAGATTATTTCAGAAACAAAGATTTACTTTTAAGAATAAAATGTAAATTAAAAAAAGAAAAAATTGATTCAGAAATTGAAGAAAATCCAGTTCTGAAAAATTCTCTCTCTCCCTTGGTGTAGAGAGTGCTATATGTATACACATCCAAGAGAGTAAGTGGATGTATCTGGTTTAGGAATTGCAGACTCTTGGCACTTACCTTGCAGTTCGTTGTGTGTGGGCAGCCTGCTTTGCCTACTGAGAGCTTTGTTAAAGGTTTCATGCCCTGCTCAACAAATTGCAGGATTGGGGGCTTAGCATTTATTGTGCGTTGAGGATATTTTTGTCAAGGTGTTTTATAAATGTAGCTTTATAAACACAAACTGGTACAGGCACTTTACAGGAGAGCACATGTGGAGATGACTCAGTATAAACTCAAATAATGCTTGACTTGTTATATCAGGCATATGCATGGCCATGTAGGTTAAGGTTGCAAAGCAGTTTTCATTCAAAGCCTGTGTTTTCAGGTGCTCTTACATTTCATACATGTCTCTTGGGTTGAAACTTTTCATGCTTAGTTTCTGTCCCAGTAATTTGTCTTTGGATTTAGGAGAAATCCCATGATTCACTTCTGATTTCGGAAGATGAGGGATTTCTGTCACTCTGTTCAAAAGCTAAACTTTAAATATTGTGATTAGTGTCATGAAGCCAAAAAACATGACTGTTGTTTGGTGTTAGCACAGGCCCCGTGGGCAATGTGTGATTTGGTAGTTCTAAAATCTATGAGCGAGCAAGCAGAATGTTATTAAGCCATTTCAAAATGCACTGCCATTCATATGCAAGAGGAACAACTGCTTGTGTTTGAGCTGGGATACTTTGGAGAATATACCAACCCTGAACCTTTGCAATTGAATGCTTCTTAACCTGTATATCTTTAGTATTGCTAGAGAACAGCATAGGTTTGAGATTTCTGTACTAATGCAAGTAGAAAGTTTCTATTTTAAGCATGTATTACAAAGCCATAAGAATATCCAATTCTGTTTTTAAAAAAGTACTTTACATGAATATTAAGATACTAAAACGTAGCATTCAGCAGTCAGGAATGCGCAGTGAATGCCAGAACTAAGGTAGCTGATGTAACCTAATTCTGCTCCTTCTATGTGTAATCTTCAGTTACAAGCTCACACTTTTTTTCCCTCAGGACCTCACTCATGCACAAGATGAATAGTAACTAGCAAAAGGAGCAGCAGCTGTTCAGTATTTTGGTCCTCACTGTTCTGTGTCTGCCCTGAAAGCAGGTGGTGGTATGGTTGCTGAGGAAAGTCTAGCTGAGATGCATTTGGGCTTCAACCCAGTCACAGTGCAGTAATGCATGACAGGAGTGGCCAATCTGTGGCACAGGAGCCACAAGTGGTATGGGCAGCTTCTGTGTATGGCACGCAGTAACTCAAGGAGGGGACAAGGAGCACAGCAGCAGATAGAGCAGGAAGTGAAATTAGAGCAACAGTCATTCAGGGAGCAGAAACAAGCAGCACATCAGGTAGCATGTAGGTAAAGGGGAATAAGAATGGCACTGGCGGAGGATGTGGAGCTAATTTGTGGCTAGTCTGCCAAAAAGTTTGGCTGTCCCTGCTGTTGCTGAGGTCTAGAGTAAGCAACTAAAAAGTGTTGTGATGATGAGGCAGCCTTGATGTAACAGTGATTTCCACTTGTAATATACCTTGTAACTTGCCTTCAGCCTCAGCTATATGCATGGACTGCTACTGTAAGAAAGTGCAAGATGTAGTGTCCCTTTTGTTTTAAAAAGTATTTTCTGAAGCTTAAACAATGTGGCATCTAAACAGTGTGTAGAAAAAATTGCATAATAGTTTAAAGCAGCTGTTGGTTATATACGTTTACAAATGAAGAGAGCAAAACTGTACAATTAACACACCTATCTCTAGTATATCTAACTGTTGGCACTATACCCTTAGTAGGGTAGTTGTTGGTAGCAAACTCTACTTTTGACTCTTTGGAATTTGTATTAAACTGCTCCAAGACTAGAATGAGAGATACTCATTAAGAAATCCTCTGTTTGCTGAGACCCTTATTTGAGATGAGAACCTTTCATTTGAAGTAAGTGTGATAGGGAAGTGTCTCTTCAGATGATACACTGGAAAAAGTGAAGGACACCAGATCAGTTACTTTGCGCCTGTATTTTTTTTTTGTTTTACTTCTGAGCAGAGGTACAGCTTCCATCTTTCACCTAAAAGAGGCAGCATATTCTTCAGTCTTGTACCCTGCTCAGTGGATCCCTTATCAACAACAACACCAATATTGGCAGCAGAAGAAATTCATGGAAAGGTTAAGCAAATGTCCACCTCTCACTGCAAACCTGCCACATCTTCAGTGTCTCGGGTGTGATGGGGATGTCTGAGAATCACAAATGAGTTGTAGGCCTGGTTTCTGCTTCCCTGTAGTATCCAGCATCCTTTTCTACCACTGAAATTGATTATTTTTCTTCCTTTGGTTCACACCTTGGAAAAGGTATTTTCACATAAGCACTTCCAGTCAACAGTATTTTAGATTCTGACCCTTGCCAAAATGCAACGCCTTCATTTCTGCTATACTGACTACTGTCTGAAACTAGAAGACTATATTATGGTCCAGCTAGTCCACTCTACAGCATCCAGTGCTTTGGGAGTGGGGAAAGGAGAAATGATGCAAAAAACCTTGCCTCAGCAATAACTCTTCCCAAAGAATTTGCCTTCTATCATCCAAGAAGCAGAGATTGGCTTTCCCCTTGTGTTTTAAAGCTTTCCTTTGAAGTGTCATCTGCATAATCCTACCTGTGAAGTCAAGGCACCTGCATTGTGAGCTTCCTGGGGGCTTAGTTAAATTGTTTCCTGAATCCATCCAGGATGCTGACTCTTTGCTCCTGAAGCAGTTGTGGGATAGTCTCCAAGTCATGTCCAGTCCTGATGTGAATCTCTCCCAAGCAGATAAACCTGCTGGACAAATGAGACACTATCTGAGCCTCTATCTTAAAAACCTCTGGGCATCACCACCTGCTCTCCTGCTGTGGCTTTTCCTTGGGCAAAATTTGTCCATCAAGGTTCAAGGCAAATCTTTGAAGAGCCTGGTATGATATTCATACATGTTAAACCCATAACATTATTAGCTAAAAAGACTGAGAAGGAGCTGGACTGTTGATGGGGAAAGTGGGTTAAGGTCTTTTGAGTGCTGAGACATGATTGTCATCAGAACACTTGATAACTTTTTCTTGGATCCAGGTAATGGCAGCCTTCCTGCCCAGTGTGTGTGAGTGGTTTTAAGGCTATCATTTTTTTGAAGTCATGCAATATTGCCGAGCACTAAGGAGGGCCATTAATACCAAAGCAAGCCAAGGCCTCAAAAGCCAGTGCTGACACAAAGGTGAACTGTTGAGAAGTGTGGGATAGCTCTCTTTGTAAATTCTCTGCCATTGCTGGATCTCCAAATCTGCAGGTTTCCATTCACATATACTTCCATCCATGTCCTTAAAGAACGAGGAGAAAACAGAGTAGGTCATGAATCACTCCCACAAAGCAGCATAGAAAGCAAAAGTGACTACACTGCCTGGCTAGCACTTCCTTCCGTTCTGGCTGGGTCTCTTGAATCTTTGCCACTGCTGGAGATTCAACTTCTTGTTGTCCCGTGCTTGTGCCATATTTTGCTAGGCAGTGTCTGAGGTATCCAGCCATCTCCGCACAATGTACACCTCAGCCATAATGTCCAGTCACCCGTGTGGTTTGGGAATCTATATCTCATTAACTTTAAGGATTTCTTCTCAGCACCTAAATAACTTGGAAAGTTTACCGTCCATTGTGGTAAACTATTTGAGCAGAGTTTATGGTGAATAACATACATGGTCTATTGATGTATTCTTTCTGGATTCTCTTTAGGTCTGCTTCATAACTGACCAGGACTGAATGTCAGTAACAGACTACCTTTCCCTTTGTTTTAGCTTGGCTGTCTTTTACAGACTTCTTCCAGTTCCTTTGATTTGGGAGATGTTTCTGAAAGTATCCATCTGGCTCTCGGGATTTGAAGTCAGTAGTCTGACCTTTGAATGACTAGAATGTTAGCTGTTTGCTGAGATCCAAAATGTCCCATTGAAAGATAAAATCCTTTTAATAACAGAAACCTACTCTAGGCTTGAAAATTTCACAACTGAAAGAAGCTGACCTGAAATAGTTCTCCATTTTTTTAACTTGGTATATATCACAGTTGCAGCAGTTAAAACTGTTTTCATTAGATCATGTTTGGCCTCCATCTCTGCTTCTCACCCTCTGACATGCGGGTGAATGTCTTTACTAATTATTTAGTAACCAAACTTGAGGAAGGAATCCTCTGTCTTTTAGCAGGGTTGCTTCAGGCAGCTGCAGCAAAGGAGACCAAATTCTTTGTTTTCATCCTTTGTTTGTAGTGGGTTACTACAGTGAGAGAGATTTTAAGTCACCCTAGGTGCTTGAGCCTCTTCCATGGGTTTGGCATCTCATCCGTAAAAAGCCCACACACCATCTGCTTAAACATTTGTCAGACTACTGTCTCTGGCTTTTTTCTGTGAAGATGGCATTCCTCAGTGACTGGTTCAGGCCAGAGGATTACTGAGATATATCTTCAAACCCTGTAGACATGTGGAGCTTAGCCAATCTGTATTTGGAGAAGAGTGATTAGTTTTAGTACCGACTAGCTATGTATATGGTTCATTGTTCCTCCTTGGCTGAATACATCGGTAATTAATATCGCCTAATAATGGTTAGGCAGCAGTTAGATTTTTCTGTCCCCATTGAGGGCAGCTACTTTGAG